ATCCCCGCGAGGGGCTCGGAAAGCTAGCGCCGTTACACTTGCGCCTCCCACTCGCACAGACTGCCTTGCACCCACTTCCCCTCCCAGTCTGCTGCGCGAGGTTTGCAAACGGAGGGCCCCTCCCTCTCGACAAGCAGCTAACAGCCACATCAAGGTGTTGAGATCCATCGCTTGTCCCAGCAACTCGCGGCGTGTGTGCTCTGAGATTCCTGGAGCGGCTTTGAAGCCGCGCGGAAAACCCATTGCCAACTCCCGTTCTTCGGCCGTTGGCTCCCCAAAGGTGACATCTCCCGCTGCATCCGTACACCTGAGGACGCCCCCACCACCCCTGGAGAACGCATAGGACCCCGGGTAACTCACAAAGGTGTTGAGCGCGCGCCTGGGATCCCCTGGTTTTTCCACCTTGGCCCAAGGGGCCACTCCTGAGGTCTGGGGCGCCCTAGCCTGACGCCCGCGCCCCAGCACCTGGTGCACAAAGAGGCCGGGGGGACGAGCTTGTTGGGCCAGCGTCGTGCGCAAGAGCGCGGGCCCCTCCAGGTTTGTCCACCACGCTCGCAGCCTGTGGGCCCTCGACCCCAGCTGCGCAGCGTCCACCACCAGCTCCGGCCCTAGCAACCCACGCGCCGCGTCGTAATGCTCGCGTACCTTGGGGCGCTTGTCAAACCCTGCCGCCAAGTGCTCCACCACGTATCCAAAAGAGCGCCCCCAGCCCTTATGCAGCCGTTGCATGCACTTCAGCACCCGCATCAGCTCCGTGAACAGCCCCGACCGCCCGTCGTCCAACCCCTGCCCCGTGCCTGCAGCACTGCTCCCCTGACATGGCCACCCCGCCACCACCAGGTCGACAGGCCCCAAGTCGTGCAGATGGGCCTCGGTGACCAGCTGGATGTCCTGCGGGAGGCGGTGGTGAAGTTGGGCTGAAGATTTGGGTGCCACCCGCGCTGGAAACTCCCTGCACAGCTGCGCCGCTGCGTGCTTGTGCACCTGCCGCGCCGCCCCCCTTCGCTCACACGCTATCACCTCTCCGATTGAGTAACCCAGCCGCGCAACCGCCTGTGTTGCAGCCCCCACCCCAGCGAATAGCTCCACCACTCTCAACGGCCTATCCGTAGGCAGTGGTGCCACCACTGTCCAGTCTAACTTTTCACAGCCCTCCAATTGCGGCAAGTACACCCGGCGTGGTGCCCCCACCCTTTCCCTCCGCTGCTGAACTGCCGCCAGCACAGCTTGACGCGCCCCTGCCGCCACGTCTAACTTAGGCCCCCGCGGCCACCGCCGCAGCTCCCAGGCCTTAACCCTCTCCTCCCTGGTGGCCCTCCCTGCCACCTCATGCTCTGGGGGCATCTGAGGCCATGTCCTCCCTCGAGCTCCCCCAGCCCTTGGCCCCAGACCCCCCGGATCCTGTCACTTAGTGAGGCAGCACGCCAGGGCCGCCCCGGCTGGGCCCTGCGCGCTACCCCTGTTTCCTGCCGCTGGGCGCTTTTGGTGCAGCTGCATCGGCAGGGCACCGACTCTTTGACCCGCCCCAGCCCAGTCCACCCTGTAAACCGCCCTCTCCTGCCACCTGTTCACCGACAACCCGCAAGGGTAGGCAGCTCGGGTACCCAGCAAGAGGTCGTACCCGGTGGAGTCAGTGATCGCCAGACGCTCATACAGGGTGAGCTCATCTGGCGTTCCCGCGTTCAACACGATGGGAACCGGCTGTCGTGTGAGGCCCCCCTTGAGCGCCTCGATCCTCCCGGTTGCCGTGTGGACGCGCAGCCCCGCTGAGTCCATGTCCTCTGGCTGCAGCCCCAAGTGTGCTTTTGCTTTCAACTTGGCCCCCGCCATTGAGTAAAAGCTCCCGCCGTCAATCAAAACTTTGTGCGGCACCACCAACCCATGGGGCGTCGCCACCTAGACCACCCGTCCCTTGTTGTCTACCCAGTCAGGAATTCCTTCCACCCCACCGCGCTCGGAAGGGCTAACCTTGGGTCGCCCTTCTGCAAAACACGCCATTGCCCTGGTATGGGCGTGGGCATCCTCCACCAGCTGTCCGTTCTCACTTTTTCCCGCTGCCTGCAGCGTAACCGCCGCGACCTGGCGTGCCCCCCTCCATTGGCCCGCGCCCAGCTTGCGTTCCCATGCTAGCCCCCGTTCCAGATCCGCCTGCAAGTCGCTCTCCCCTTCTGCCTTTTGCTTCCCTTTTCCTTCAACCACCTCCGCCTGCTCTCCCTGTGGCCCGCTCTCCTTCTCCCCCGGCTTCTGCGCCGCCAGCGCCACTGCCCGATCCACCCCCTTCTCCTGAGCTTCCCTGGCGACCAGCTCCATTGCCAACTCCGCATCCCGACTGGTCGCGACCACCCGCTCCTCTCGCGCCCTATATGCCTGATCCTCCTCCTGCCGCGCGATCTCACGCGCCAGTGCCTCGTCTGCTGCCACGCGCCCCCGCGCCGCCCTGTCCTCCGCCATGCGAGAGCTCTCCGGCTCATCGATTGGCGCGGCGCTCTAACTGCTGCTTGCGCCCCCCTTTGCTACCTGCACCCAGCTCTGGGGCTTCTCCCCGCCCTGTCCAGTCTGCAAACTCTCACCACCCAACACCTCGCCGGCCTCGCGCGCGCGGAGTGCCTTCATTGCAATGGGCGACAGCCCCGCCCCCGAGCCCTTCACGCCTGATTTGGGTGTCTGCATTTCCATCACCCCCCCTGCACGCGTCATCTCAGCAACCGCCGCCAGGTCCATCCCAGCGCGTCCAGCCAGCGCCAGGAAGGCGCCCAACCCCAGCGTCACCGTCCCCTGCGCCGTTGGCCCCTGCCCGTCGCTGGCTAGGCTTCACCCCGAGCTGAGACCCCCCCCTGTCCTGTCTGCCGTCAGGACAGCGCGCGCCTCCGCCCGCGCCTGACTGGCCGCCTCACCTATGACCTGGCCGCGCACCTCCGGCCTGCTCCCTCTTGCCTGTGCACTGACGGCCACCGCGAAGCCCTTGGGCAATCTGTTGAGCCCCTGCGGGGCCACGTGGCGACCGTGGTCGGGCAGCTTCACCAACCGCTCCCTTGCGGCTGCCTTGTCCCTGCGCGCCTTGAGCGCCTCTGTCGCCGCCAGGTCCACCGGAGGAGCGATTTTTGCAGTCCCAACAGGGCCCCCCACACTGTTTCCCTGTACTCCCCCCTTGACAGCTAAACCGCTCTGCGCTCCTGGCCCCCCGCTGCGTGCCGCCCTGGTTGCTCTGGCCTTCTCCGCGCCTGCGCGGGTCCCGGCTGCTGCCATCACAACGGGCAACCCCTCCTGCTCAAACAACGGGAGCGCCACCGCCCCCAGCCCGTATTCCAGCTCGTCCCACTCGCAGTCGTCCTCGTCCGTTGGCCCCTCGACCTGCGCTGCGACTGCCGCCTGTGACATGGCGCGCCAGTCTTGGAACGCCTTAAACTCCGCCGCGCTAATGTCCCCTCCGAACGTGCCCCCGCCTGCGTTGGTGGCCGCAGCTGCAACCACTGGGGCGGCCCGCTTGGCGCACTGGGCCGCCAAGTGTGTGGTTTCCCCGCACACAAAGCACGACCTGGGCCCCCGACCGCCACCTCCTCTGCCACCGGCTCCCTGACCCCTCCCGGAGCTGTTCCGTCTTGGGTGGGGGCAACCGTTGCGGTAGTGCCCTACCTCCCCACAGTTGTGGCAGGCCCCCGAGCCTCCACCAACTGCGGGACCGGCCGCACCCAGCTGTACCGGCGCTGCAACCGCGGCAACGTGTGCAGCCGCCGGCTTCTGCCCCCACCGCGCCCTCGATGTGTCAGCCACTCTTGGCACCAACTCCCGTGCGATCCGCAACCTGGCGTTGATGGACTGAACCCTCAACGCAGCCTTGTACGCCTCGTCTAACGTGTAGGCGCCACCCGGCTCCGACTTGGTTGCTGCCATGGCCTGGGAACTAGTCTGCTCCGCCAGCCGCCTCTCCAAGCTCGTAATGAACTTGGTGACCAGCTCCTGATCAGCATCTTGCTTGTCCAAGTCAATTGCCAACCCTTTCAACCTGAACAGGAGTGACGGCAGCTCCTCCCCCGGCTCGCGTCGGAAGTCAACCCACTCCTGCGCCTTGCCCTCCTTCCGATCCTCGAAGTGACGCTTGAGCGACTTCAGCAGCGCCCCCATAGGGTCCGTCTCCGTGCAATGCTCCTCATACTCCCGCTCATGCGCCAACTTCGCCGGGTTGTCAAGGAACTCACCGAGGTAGATGCAGTACCTGCCGTTAAACTCCGCCCCGTCTACTGGGTTCCCAACATCCTTCTGAAGCTTCTTGAAGCGGTCCTGCAGGCTTCCCTTGACCATCAACTCAAATTGCTTCAAGGTGAGCCCCTCACCCTTCTTGCCCGAAAACCTCTGCCGCCCCTCCAACCCCGTGCCCGAGGCCATGTCAACCTCCTCCTCTTCCCACCAGCCCCCTTGGCTTGCCTGCACCTCCTCCCGCGATCCGCTCCTCCGCAACTGAGCCCTCACTCTCCGCGTTCGCCGCTTCGGTGCTCTGCGACACCGTGTCATGACCTCCCTATACCGCGCTGCCAGCTGAGACCTAGTCTCCACTGGCATAGGAGGAACTTACTCTCCTAAACCCTATTGCCTTCTCCCTGCTCCCAGGCCACCTCACCCGGGACCCTTGCTCTTCACACTCTGTGTGCTCTGGTGAATCCTCCCCCAGGAGGACTAACCACCGCAACCGTCTACACACGTGCCACAGCGCCACCCAGCGATGATGAGCGCCTACCGCTGCCTTCGCCGCGATCACTTCTAGCACGTCCCGCGGTAGGTCCAGCAACTGAGTGGCTGTGTTTGCGCCCTCCCCCGCCAGCTTCAGTCCAGCTGGTCGATTGCCCCTTCCCCGGGTGATCTTCCCGTCTGCGCCCCTGACCGCGCGGCCTGCCTACTCTCCCAGCGATCCCTGGCGCTGTCACTCCAGCACCAGCTGCAGCGCAGCTCCTGCGAACCACCAGCTCCCCACGCCCGCACCTGCTCCCGCCCGTCTGCCACTTCAAACCCCGCAAACGCCTCGTCGCTCTCCGGAGCGTCACAAATGACGCAGTCTGTCAAGCAACCACTCTGGGACAGCGGCCAGTGGTCAGCCGGGTCTACCTCAAAGCCCAACCTCTCTGCTGCTTCTTGGTTGTTTGCCAGAAAGTTTACCCACAACTTTTCACCGGGCAACCCAACCCACTCAGCTGCAAACGCTTCCCACCTCTGCATAAACACGCCCCAAGCTACAGCTTCCTCACGGTCCATGCACCACAGCCGTCACCAACTGACACACCCTCAGGTCAAGGCAAAGGGGGCACTTTCCAAGGCTTACGTACGCGACCTGAAGCGG